TAATAAATAACCATGATCAGAGCTCAACTGAAGGAGATAGACACAAAATCCCTCAAAAAAAAAAAATCAATGAATTCAGGAGCTAGTTTTTGAAAAAAATTAATAAAATAGATAAATCGCTCACTAGACTAATGAAGAAGAAAAAAAGAAGATTAAAATAAACACAGTCAGAAATAAGAGGGATATAACCACTGACCCCACAGAAATGCAAATAACCATCAGAGGATATTATAAACACCTCTATGCACATACTAGAAAATCTAGAATAAATGGATAAATTCCTGGACACATACATCCTGCCAAGACTGAATGAGGAAGATTTCGAATCCTAGAATAGACCAATAATAAGTTCTAAAATTGAGGCAGTAATAAATAGCCTACAAACCAAAAAAAAAGTCCAGGACCAGAGGATTTACAGCTGAATTCTACCAGAGGCCCAAAAAAGAGCTGGTACCATTCCTACTGAAACAATCCCAAAATATTAGACCAGCATTATTCTGATACCAAAACCTGGCACACAAAAACAAAAAAAGAAAACTTCAGGCCAAACTAGGTATTGAAGGAACATACCTCAAAATAATAAGAGCCGTGTGTGATGAATTCACAGCCAATGTCATACTAAATGGACAAAGGCTGGAAGCATTTCCCTTGCAAAGGGGCACAAGACAAGGTTGCCCTTTCTCACCACTCCTATTCAACACAGTACTGGAATTCCTAGCCAGAGTAATCAGTCAAGAGAAAGAAATAAAGGGCATCCAAATTGATAAAGAGGAAGTCAAACTGTCACTGTTGGCCAGTAATATGATTGTATACCTAGAAAATCCTAAAGACTCATATAAAATACTTCTAGATCTGTTAAACCAATTCAGTAAAGTTTAAGGATACAAAATCAATGCATACAAATCGGTAGCACTGCTGTACACCAACAGTGACAAAGCTGAGAATTAAATCAAGAACGCAACCTCTTTTATAATAGCTGCAAAAAAAATAAAATACTTAGGAATATATCCAAGGAGATGAAAGACTTCCACAAAAAAAAGTACAAAATACTGATGAAAGAAATCATAGATGACAAAAACACATTTAAAAATTTCCCATGCTCATGCATGGGTAGAATCAGTATTTTTTTAAATGACCATACTGCCAAGAGTGATCTACAAATTCACTGCAATTTCTATCAATATTCCATCACCATTTTTCACAGAACTAGGAAAAACAATTCTAAAATTTCTATGGAACTATAAAAGAGCCTGTATAGCCAAAGTAAGACTAATCACAAAGAAGAAATCTGGAGGCATCACATTACCTGACTTCAAATTATTCTACAGGCTATAGTTACTGGCATAAAAAATAGGCATACAGACCGATGAAACAAAGTAGATAATCCAGAAATAAAGCCAAATACTTACAGTCAACTGATCTTCAACAAAGCAAACAAAAACATAAAGGAGAAAAAGAACACCCTATTCAACAAAGTGGTGCTGGGATAATTGACAAGTCACATGTAAAAGGATGAAAGTGGATCCTCAACCCTCACCTTGTACAAAAAATCAACTTAAAATGGATATCAAACACTTAAATTTGAGTCCTGAAACCATGAAAATTCTAGAAGATAACATCTGAAAAACTCTTCTAGACATTAGCTTAAGCAAAGAGTTTTATGACCAAGAACCCAAAAGCAAATGCAAGAAAAACAAAGATAAATAGATGGAACTTAATTAAACTAAAAAACTTCTGCACAGAAAAAAATAATAATAATCAGCAGAGTAAAAAGAAAACCCATAGAGTGGGAGAAAATATTCACAGGCTAAGCATCTTATAAAGGACTAATAGGCAGAATCTACAAAGAACTGAAACAAACCAGCAAGAAAAAAAAATCCCATCAAAAAGTGGGCTAAAGCCATGAATAGACAACTATCAAAAGAAGATATACAAATGGCCAACAACATATGAAAAAATGTTCGACACCACTAATGACCAGGGAAATGAAAATCAAAACCACAATGCAATGGCACCTTACTCCTGCAAAGAACAGTCATAATTTAAAAATAAAAAAATAATAGATGTTATCATGAACGTGAGGAAAAGGGGACACTTTTACACTGCTGGTGGAAATGTAAACTAGCACAGCCACTATGGAAAAGAGTGTGGAGATTCCTTAAAGAACTAAAAAGAGATCTACCATTTGATCCACCAATCCCCTACTGGGTATCTGCCCGGAGGAAAATAAGTCATTATATAAAAAAGACACCGCATGTGCATGTTTATAGCAGCACAGTTCACAATTGCAAAAATATGGAACCAGCCCAAATGCCCATCAATGGAATGGATAAAGAAAATATTATATATATATATATATATATATATACACACACACAAATACATATATTATATACACACACACATATATTTATCTATATGTGTATATACATATACACATGTATTTATATATACACCTATATATATAAATATGGTTGTGTATATATATATATGGGTACATGTATTTATATATGCACATATTTATATATACACATATATATGTGTGTATATATAAATGGTACATATACATACATTTCATTTCCCTGGTCATACATATATATATACACACACACACATGCACAAATATATGTATACATATACATATACACACACATTTATATATATATGTGTATATATATATATATGTGTATACATATATATATATGCACACACACACATTTCATTTCCCTGTTCATATATATACACACACACACATGCACAAATATATGTACACATATACATATATACACACACACACACACATATATATACCTACTATACATATATACTATGCACACACACCATAGAATACCACTCAGCCAAAAACAGGAATGAAATAATGGCATTCACAGCAACCTGGATGGAGTTGGAGACCATTATTCTAAGTGAAGTAACTTAGGAATGGAAAACCAAATATCCTACTTTCTTACTTACAAGTGGGAGCTAAGCTGTGAGGAAGAAAAAACATAAGAATGTCACATTGGAATTTGTGGACTCCAGGGGAAAGATGGAAGGGGGTGGGGGATAAAAGACTACACATTGGGTACAGTCTACACTGCTCAGGTGATGGATACACCAAAATTTCAGAAATGACCATTAACTAACTTATCTATATAACCGAACACCATCTGCTCCCCAAAATATATTGATATAATAATAAAACAAACAAAAAAAAAAACAAAGGAAAAGAAAATGGGTACATATACGTCATGCGCTGCAATTCAGCCATTAACAATGAAATTATGTCTATATCAGTAACTTGGATGGAACCGGAGGCCATTATTCTTTCTAAAGTCACCCAGGAATCTACAAGCAAATAGTACAGGATCTCACCTAGAAGTGCGAGCTAAGCTGTGGGTCCACAAAGGCATGCAGTGTAGTATACTGAACATTAGAGACTCAGGAGTGGGGAGGGTGAGAGAGGGTGACAGAGGAGAAGCTGCCTGTTGAGTACAATGTAAACTAATTGGGTGATGAGCGCACTAAAATTGCAGACTTCAACACTCCACGGTTAATCTATGAAGCCAAAATAACCTGCACTCCTAAAGCTTTTGAAACACAGTTTTTAAAAGTACTGATATCATGGAATCTATTGTTCTGTGTGCCATACCTGCATGGAACTGGGCATTAATTTCAACGACAGCTATGACAAAAGTCTGTTAACAGTATATTTGAATAGAATTCACAGCTATACAATTTATCTATGGAACCTAAAACCATAGTTACCCCTAAAAATATTAAAATAACAAAATATTTCCAATGTTTTCCTAGCTCATCTGTGACCTCAGGTCAGCAGCTAAGTGAGGTCAAACCTAGCTTCTCAGGAGCTCATGGCATTCCCGTCATGGCCAATGGCAGGATAGCTCAGCTCAGGGATCCAGTCCACCTTCAAAAGGGAAAGGGAGCTTCAAGCAGCTGAGTGGGAACACCTGTGACAGTCACATGTGATTCTTTTCTCAGGAAAGCTTTGGCTTATCCAGAGCCAAATCTGCTGGAGGCTACCAGATGATTTTCATGAGTGTCACTTTAGGGGAAAAAATACCACAGGAGAATCCCTGACAGAGAAGTGACCATTTCAAATTTCCATATACCCCCCCACCCTCCACCCCCCACCAGTACACTTCATTCTCAAAGAAACTGATAAAGCCTCATATTCTCATGCCTTGGTGTCTTGGAGCAGACATGTAATTTGGCTGACTGCCGGCTTTATTAAAATTGGTTTTCCACTGTCAATATTTCCATGATGATCGACAAATGTAAGCTTTCAGATTCTCTTTTGCACCCAGAACTTTAGGTGACCCACCCACCTACCATCTTTCCTACAAGGCCCGCTCCAGACTTGATTGTTTCCACAGCCCTGATGAGGTAGAGGGTCTGGTGAAGCTTAGCTGGGTGGGTGGGTCCAATGCAATCATCTGAGACAATTACAGGAGGCTGGACTTGGGAGGGTCGAAGCAATCATCTGAGCCCCTTCTGAGAGGCTGGACTTGTTCCTCCCTCCCTTGGGAGGGAAGTCCCCGGGGACTTGATGGAGTTTTCACAGCCCTGATGAGGTTGAGAATCTGGTAAAGCAGTGAGTGCAACGAAACGTAGCTGGGAGGGTCTAATGCAATCATCTGAGCCCCTTATAAGAGGCTGGACTTAGCTGAGCCCGCAGAGATCTCCAGCCAGTGCGAGACTGCCTAGGAGGGAGATTCCCCACCGCTGGTGTGCAGACCTAGGAGGCCGAGGACCCCCGGGAGACTGAGCAGCAGGGCCTCTGACCTGCAGACCAACGAGCTGGTAAGTCTGGGTCTGGGTTTCAGGGGCTGTGTGTATGGGAGCGCCTTGCCCATGGATCTCAACTCATAGGCTTTCTGAATTCTGTCCACAGCCCCACCGTCACTGCTGTCTGAAACCACCACTGCCTCCAGTTCACCAGGCTCAGCCCAAGGACCGGAGAAAGGCCGAGGCCCCACACCATGGCGCGCACCAAGCAGACCGCCCGCAAAGCCACCACTGTGCAGGCCCCCAGGAAGCCCGTGGCCATCAAAGCCCCAGGCAAGAGGTTGCCACCTACAGGAGGGATCAAGAAGCCCCACCGCTACAGGCCTGGCACTCAGGCGCTGCGAGAAATCAGAAAGTACCAGAAGTCCACGGAGCTGCTCCTGCACAAGCTGCCCTTCCAGCGCCTGGTGCGCGAGGTCGCCCAGGCCATCAGCCTGGACCTGCGCTTCCAGAGCGCGGCCATTGGCGCCCTGCAGGAGGCCAGCGAGGCCTACCTGATCTGCCTCTTTGAAGAAAACAACCTGTGTGCCATCCATGCCAGGCGCGTCACAATTATGCCCAGAGACATGCAGCTGGCCCTCCGCCTCCGCGGAGAAGGTCATTAGGAACCCAAATGTAGTTAAGCATGGGACTGCGGGTGGAAACAGGCAGAAATCAGGTCTTGGTGGTGGTTCTGGGTGCTTTTGTTTGTAAACGTCTAATCTACCTTGAGAGTCATAAGCCAGCAGTGTCATGTGGAATTCTTTCGGTGAGCGCTTTCAGCATTTCCACTCTACATCAGTGTTCAATAAATCTGTTCATTTTCACCGGACCATGCCTGTGTGTAGAATACTTCAAACCAAATAAATCTCTTCTTGAAGGCAACTCAATGATATTCGTTTAGCTTTATCAAACAGTAGATGAGATCCACGCTTTCTCTTTTCCTGTATGCAGCTCTGTGTTTGCAATGTTCCCTGTGTCCTGGGCTGTTCCTGCTAGTTTGCTAGGAACATACATTCAACACCACTTTCTAAAATGTGAATAGACTCTCTATCCACAAGTCACTTCACATCAGGGGAGGCAGAAAAACCAGTGTGGGTGTGTTTGTGGGGTAGAAGGGGAGAGAGGCGCCCTTTAGAAGTCTGCTGCCATCCATCTCTGGCAGTTCAGCGTCCTCGAATGTGGTCATGTCCATGACTAGAATGACCCGGAAAGTAGCAAGAGAATCACTGAGGGCCGGGTGCGGCGGCTCACGCCTGTAATCCCAGCACTTTGGGAGGCCGAGGTGAGCGAATCATGAGGTCAAGAGATTGAGACCATCCTGGCCAGTGAAACCCGGTCTCAACTAAAAATGCAAAAAAATTAGCGTGCGCCTGTATTCCCAGTTACTTGGGAGGCTGAGGCAGGAGAATTGCTTGAACCCGGGAGGCGGAGGTTGCAGTGAGCCGAGATCACGCCTCTGCACTCCAGCCTGGCGTCTGGTGACAGAGTGAGACTCTGTCTCAAAAAAAAAAAAGAGAATCATTGAAAGTCTGTGAGATCTGTACAGACACACCCCTGCTGCAGCCAAACCGTTTGCGGAAAGCTGTCTGCATATTCATATTAGAGGATCACATTTTTAACAAGTACCAAAAAAATCACGTGATTTTAGACCCAAGGCCAGAAAAATCCTGAGGGAAAAAAGTGCTTGTTCCATCTTCCTATGACAGAGGACTTTGTGTGCCAGAGGTTGGTAGTTCAATCTTCCCTGAGTTTACCAACAATTGTATCATCTTCCTCGAACTCTTAAATTTGCCACACCTGGATGAAGGAAGCAATCTATTTCATAATCATTTTGAGTAAATATTTGGATTTTTTTGACACTTGAGTTTTTTTTGTACATCTCCCTATTTGAAAGAATAAACGCGTCTGGGCCTTGAGCACCTCTGGATAGCAATGTGCTTTGAAAGAGAAACCTCTTCCAAGAGATGGTTTTGCACTGAAGACTGAAGTTGCTCTGCCCTAGAACTTTGCTTTTACTGGGTTTTATTTTCTTATCCAGTTCATATTTGCTGTTGAATTTTTTTAAAGGCACTGTTGATGAGATTATGGCTTTCTCACAAAAAAATACTACTTTGGCAAAAGTGTATTGAAATTAACAGTACTTACATTTTTTAAGTACTGTTTTTAATTTTAATACTTTTAATTTTTTATTTTTTAATACTTTTTCATTTTTAATACTT